TGCCGCTCCCGCCGCTTTTGGGCTGAGGGTCGTTCCCCCAGGCAGAGCTCGAATCTGAAGCCCTCCTGGGCTTTGCTTTGGGGTTTTGGGTTGGTTTGGTTGGGTTTTTTTTTTTAATCTTCGCCGCAGCAAGCGTGCTGCTTCAACGCCAAGCCAGAAGCTGGCAGAATTTTCCGCCGGCAGGTAAGACGGTAGCTGCACCTCCCTCAGGGGGTGCGCTGCTTCTGCCCCGGGTTACCCTCCTCGGAGGTGTTTTGCCCCGTTAGGAGGGCACAGGCCCTGCTGAAGGCGGGGCCAGCGGTATGTCACAGCCACCGGAGCCCTCGCTGCCGTGGTGCCCATTGCCCACGCAAACGGGATTTAAAATGCGGTGCTTGGTGGGTTGGTTCGTGGGGCTGGTCCTGCTGCCAGCTGTGCCTTTCTGCCGACCTCCCCCTTGGGGGGGGAATGGTGGGAAAGCCCCAGAACCAGCATACTGACCAAATCCCTGCAAGGGCCAGATGTCTTCATTAGTCAATTTAGCCTGCACTGCTTTAAATCTTTCAGGTCATTTTTCCCACTTGCATTTCCCGTATTTTCTGTTCCAGCTGTGCGCAGGCTCGGGAGCACCGTAGTTTCATGCGTGCGGTGCTCTGAAGGCTGCCTTCGGGTCTGTGAGGGCTAAGGAAATCACAGCTCTGCTGCTTGCCTGTGGCTTCTGAAGTGCTGGGAGCGTGGGCTGGGAACCACCCATGCTTCTCCCATTTACCCGATCTCTCTTAAATAAGCTAGGTTGCTATTTGCTGTCTGTTCTTTTTTTTTTTTTAATGCAACTGCCACGCGTGCTTGTATTTAACACACCATTTCTAGATTGCTTACTCAGAAAGATCCAGAATCATGCTATTTTTCAGGAGGCCTAACAGTAGCTGTTTTATTAAAAGGAAACCAGTGACTTACGATATAATAAAATAGCTATGCTTGTCCAAAAACGTTTAATTTTTTTGAAGATTCTATTGCGTCAATAAAAACAACAGAGTTAATGATTAGAAGGGGCTCTGTGTGACTCGGAAGGTGTATTTTCCTCTGTCATGCGCAGTCTTCATGGCAAGTGCGTTGTGCCCGTCTAATTGAGCTTTAACAGAAGTTTGAAGGTCCAGCTTTTCTCAGATCTGCTGCTACTTTGCTGTGTGACTGCGGACAGAGGACGGTCGCTTCTGGGCTTTTGTTTCTCCTCTGCTAAGGGGGGGTCGGGTGTTCCTGCCTTTAGAGCCTGAAAACTGTCTGTGTCTTCTGGTTGCAGACAAGCCGACGGTCGGAAAGTCCTGCGGTCGAGCATACGGGAGTTCCTGTGCAGCGAGGCCATGTTTCACCTAGGGATACCAACAACGAGGGCTGGAACATGTGTGACATCCGACTCCAAAGTCATCCGTGATGTATTTTATGATGGGAATCCAAAAAGTGAAAGGTGTACAGTTGTTCTGAGAATAGCTTCTACATTCATAAGGTACAGGCCTATTTTGTTGTTGGTTTTTTTTTAATTCTTTTAAAACCAAGCGCAGCAGTCTTACAAAATACCATTTTAAGTGTATTTCCGTAACAGCACCATTTGCGTGTTTCTCGTTCTGGAGGCTTGGAACTCTTTTGCTGGGCTGTAGGAAGCCGCTGTTCGTGTCCAGCGGATGGGATGAGCTGGTGTCTGCGCACAGGCAGATACACACTAAGGACGCTGGCCTGGCAGAAAGAACAACTAAGCTGTGCAGACCTCAGAAGAGATTTTTCGTGTTTGTACCCTCACAGAATACACGCTTTTGCTGATGTTGGTAGTAGCGGTGGACTATAGCTCTACCCTTAATTCCATGGCTATTCTAATGTAGTCCTGTCAAAGTTTGGGTGTACTTTCCCTGCTTGAGAAGTCTACGAGGTTTGTGCTCTGACACAAAACATTAGGAGCTTCAGGAAGTTGCACTGCTTCTTGTAAGATAACAGAATATTAGAGAAGGTGAGGCATAAGGAATATGTGCATGCATATGTGTGTGCATATATGTGTGCATACACATACATACATACGTGGAAAAATCTGTCTTGCATGCTTGATGTACAGTCTAGTATTTTAAACAAGTCCTATTCCTGTATATTTACTCAGGATAAGAATTTTTCTGTAGAAATCATCATAAGAAACTTTAACGAGCTGGTCTTCAGTACTGGCTAGGTCTTGATCCGCCGGTTTAGCGGCACATGGACGTAGGCGCTTCCTTCGCGTTGCGTCGCTGAGCCTCGCTGGGTTCAGCGTGGGAATCTTGTGGGTCTTTTCTCTCGGTCAGTTGAAAGATTGGTGTTAAACTCAAGAGATGATGTGGTGTTACTGCAACAACAGTAAATATTTTTACTACGTGTAATATGAAATGAAGTTAATAGTATCAGGTAATTGTAAAACATGGTTTTGTTATTTTAAAACAGATTCGGTTCTTTCGAAATTTTTAAACCTACTGATGAATACACAGGACGCAAGGGTCCCAGTGTTAACCGAAACGATATTCGAATACAGATGCTTGATTATGTGATCAGCACTTTCTATCCAGAAATCCAGGAGGCTTATTCAGACAACAGTATTCAGAGGAATGCTGCTTTCTTCAAAGAGGTGAGAAGGATCAGATTCTCTTCATAAATCCGCAGCGGTCACCTTCAGGAACTTCATCCGCAAGCACAGATGACTGGAGTTGGTTAATTCCTTGTATCATCCGGTTGCCTGACCTATTCTTTTCTCTGAAGAAAACACTCTTTAATAGAACTGCTTATCGATGAAAGCCATGTTGATAGTGATCAAACCAATGAGAGTGGTTTAACCTTTTTAATAGTAAATCATTATGTCTCTGCTCTGGGAGAGCTTCCCAAGTCTTGTCTCCATTTGCTGAGAGTGTCTTAGATTGCAAGGGGGAATTCTGGCCCTGACTGTTAGATGATGAGTTGATGGGACATCACTTGCAAGGCTTCATCTTTTAAAATACTGAGAACGTCGAGTCACTTCCTCGCTCTCATTTTCCAAATTATGAATGGGAATGTTGACTGCAAATCACTTTAACTTCAGGCTTTCGCATTGAAAATGTTTAAAGGTGGTCAAGCACTGCAAGGGCTTGCCTGAGGAGGTTGCAAAACCTCCAACTTTGGGAATGGTAAGATCAGGTGAGGTAAATTCTATCTTAGAATGTGGGGTAGTATCAGGTCATGCTGTGGTGGCCCAGAGGAGAGGCTGGGTGATTTCTCAGAGACCTGTTCTGAACCCATTTGCAATTCCTGTATAAGTTTAGACCTTAACAATTACTGGAGATCCATAACAAAAATTGGAACAATAACAGGAGTAGATGTAGAATTGCTGTATTTCTCTTTGAAGTACAACATAGCTAAATTAATTGGTAGTTACACTTTATCTTCTGAACATACCTTTTGACTCGCTGTCGGTACTGTATTGCTATTCTTGACATTGAATTTCTATTACTGTATTCCTTTGTCTCAGTGAGCAAAGAAAGAGTTTGGGGTAAGGGAAAATAAATAAGATGCTTCTCTTCATGTTTTAGTGATTAGTATGTAGTAATGCTACCCTTGCAGAAGGGTCCAGTTTGACATTGCTGGAGAACTGTAATAAAGGCTCCAATGTGGATCACCCGAAGCTCAAATAATGTTACAACCCAAATAAGAATGTTGTAACTAGCCAGTAAACAGAATAATTAAAAAATACCACAGTCTAATACGCTTGACTAGTCTACGTAAAAGCCGTTGTGGTGCTTTGAAATCTGAAATGATCTGGTAGGGGCTGAGGGAATGGCTACAACATGATGCATGTTCATAACAGACCAGTAAGAGGTCAAAAGGCAGGCTTAAAACCTGACATTCTCTAAATGTTGTGGGGTTTAAATTTGTGGGAGTTTTTTGTTTTGCTTTGGTTTTTTGGGTTTTTAGAGTTGGTTTTGTTGTTTGTTTTTTTTTTTTCTTTAACACAACCTGTGCGTACTTGCATTAGTTCTTCAAAAGCAAACTGTGGCTGGGACCACCGCTGGCTGCCAAAGAGTTTAACTTCACTGGACAGGCCTTTTGCGTTTGAATGATCGGAGCTGGCGAGGAGAGCTGTGGTTTGTCACCCACTACGTGCGTGTCCAGCTCTGTAGTTGATGGCATGTTTACTTTCTGATGGCAGAAAAGTCATGGGACCTGGGGATCCTTGCAGACGTATGTATGCGCCCAGTCCTGCTTCTTCCTGCTTTTGCCTGCTTTTCCTGGCCCAGTTATTACTTGTTTCCTCTCCCCATCCTTTCCTTATTGCCCCCATCTCCATTTTTTTGTTTGTTTGTTGTGCTTTCCATGCTTGTGCTATAGCATTGCCTCTTCATGTTTTTTCTCCTCCTCAGAGGAGACTTTCCATACCTTTCTCCACCTGAAAAGCACCCCAGTCCCTACCTAATTTGACAAACATGTCCATCTTTTTTTAATAGTGAGGAGGTGCTGTCAGCTCAATTCTAATGTGTTTCATCTTTCTTTTTGCACTATGGAAGAAATGGAGGAAAAAAGTTCAAGTGATTGCATTTGATGGCACTGTCTGGAAAGAAAACACCATTATCTGTGCTTCTCAAATAATTCGTGGGTGTTGTTAAATTTAAATGAGCATATCCTTGAGATAGTGCTCTTATTTATATCTACCATACTTGTTTTCTAGTATGGCTAGCAGTAGAAAAAGGTGATCGAAAAGAATGAAGGTCAAAGCGAGGGCAAAGCCATCTCTTTCTAATCAACGTACCCATCTTTGAGCGGCGCCCAAGCTTTAGTTACTTCCAGCTGTTCTCATTAGCGGGATTTCTTTTTCAGCAGAACGCTGGCAGTGCATGCTGCATTCCTACCAAGACATCCAGCAGCCCTGAGCTGCCTTACCACTGGCGTGCTTTCGGCCCAGCCATGGTGGCCAGGATTTTTTTTATTTTTAAGTTTTACCCTCTTCCTGGCAGAGAGCCATCGTACAGGGTGTGTCTCCCTTACTGGTTTATAGCATGCCAGTAATCAGTTTTGGACACGTGTAGCTGGCTGCCGGCTGCCCCGTGAAGCAGCGTTCAGGAAAAATGGGTAAAGTACCAAACACGAGAATATTGTAAAAAGTAGAAGTATGGGATCTCAAGGTGAACCAAAAGCTTCTGATCATCATTTGTGGGTTTTACTACCTGTTAGGTTATCCCAGGGCAAGACTTTTCTCATTTTTCTTCCTTGCCTGACTGCCCGTGTTTAAAAAAAAAAGGAAAATGGAAAAAATTGGGGTTTGAAGACAGAGGCATAAAACTCATGTTTCCTCTGTTAATTATTTTTTTTAAACCTTAATAAAATACATGGAGAGAATAGTTGCTTTAAATTTCTGTACATTGATAGCTATTTGGGAAGATGAGTGATTTTAGCTTTGAATACAGTTTGATTTAAAAGCTTTAGCTAATGGCTACATAAAATTTTTATTTACAGCAATTCAGTGAAATATTAAGCAATACCTGGTTTTATTTAAAAGCCAGGTTTGCTTCCTGAATTTTAGATTTCATAGGGCATATCTAGTTGTAGTTGACAGGTGGGCTGATTTAATTAAATCACTAGAACTGTTTTAAAATATTACGCTATTTATTTAAAGAATTGGGTGTGTGCAGTGGTTGCAGTCAAGGATTCCACAACAGTAACTCAGTTAAGCAGTGGAAAAACTCTGGTGAAGCATGCGTTTGATGAAGAATTGCATTTAAATAAAATGGTCATTCTTGGAATATTTTTATTTAACCTTGTAGCTTTTTTCCACTCTCAGCAAATTGAGGGAAGTGCTTATCAGCGCTAAAACTTGTTAGCGGGAAACAATTATTTGTGTAAACCACTTGCCTTCCTGTAAATCACTGCTATGTACCAGGTAAACTGAAAGACTAACTTTACATTAGGCTTTGTTGCATACAGTTAATTTTATTTCTTAGACTTTGCTTACGTTTTCTCCTGCCTGTGCTTAAAGGGTGTTTAAAATCAGTAGTAAGCAACTACCTGAAGGGAGGTTGTAGTGAGGTGGGTGTCAGTCTGTTCTCCCTGGTAACGGGCAATAGGATGAGGGGAAATGGCCTCAAGTTGTGCCAGGGCAGGTTTAAATTGGATATTAGGAAACATATCTTCACAGAAAGGGTTGTCAAGCATTGGAATGGGCTGCCCAGGGAAGTGGTCGAGTCCCCATCCCTGGAGGTATTTAAAAGACGGGTAGACGAGGTGCTTAGGGACATGGGTTAGTGGTGGGATGGCAGGGTTAAGTTAATGGTTGGACTTGATGATCCGTGGTAATGTATTTGTGCAGTGACTAGAATAGTGTGCAAATCTGGTGTCAAACAGTTTACCTTACTTCAGCTTTCTGTCTCTAGTACGTATTAAAGCTGTCCGGTTGACCTGCAAGTCAGGCATGGAAGGAAATAAGAGGAGGCAAACAGAAATGGGAGGCTGAGGAACAGGGCAGTTATTAACAGGAGGGGAAGCAAGCTGTCCTTAAGATATTGGTGTATATGGCATACTGCCGGAATCTGCTTCCACCGGAGCTGTAGAAACATCAGCTCAGACTGGGAAATGCTTGGAAATACGTAAATGTATTGGAAATACATTGTGTTGAAAAATGAAAAAAAAAAAAAAAATTACTCTCTTTCAGATAACAAAACGGACAGCGAGATTGGTTGCTGAATGGCAATGTGTTGGGTTTTGCCATGGCGTGCTGAATACAGATAATATGAGCATAGTTGGACTAACCATCGACTACGGCCCTTTTGGATTTATGGACAGGTCAGTGTGACATAATTATTTGAAATCTGCACATGTATGTGCTGTGTAGAATAATCCTGATGCTCATGATTGCTTTAATATTTGAACTCCTAACTTAGATTTAGGAATCCTTTTTATTGCAAAGTAGATTAAGTTAGTTCTAGTTGTCCTGTAATTCTTCTTTTCAACTTCTTAACTGTGTTCACAACCTCTCTGACTGTTAGACTGTTCTTGTAGCCTGTGGGGTTTCCCAGTGTTTGAGAGGGCTAAAATAATACTTCTCATGGTATTGGTGTCCAGATAATTAGAAGAATGCTAACTATTTCTTCATTTGTAGATACGACCCTGAGCACATTTGCAATGGTTCTGATAATACAGGGCGCTATGCTTACAACAAGCAGCCAGAGATTTGCAAGTGGAACCTGGGGAAGCTTGCTGAAGCTCTAGTTCCAGAGCTGCCCTTGGAAATAAGTGAACTCATCCTGGAAGAGGAATATGATGCAGAATTTGAGAAACACTATTTACAGAAGATGAGGAAGAAATTAGGCTTAATCCAACTGGAGTTAGAAGAAGATAGTAAGCTGGTGTCTGAACTCCTTGAAACCATGCATCTCACAGGTTGGTGAGGAACACAGTGGGTTATTATTTAATAGCCCATCGGTTTCTTACAGTCAAAGCAAAATGTAGTTTTTATCTCGACCTTACCAGAAAGCAGCCTTGTGCAAGTACATCCTCAGAGAAGAAAAGACTGAAAAATATAATCACCACCTTCTGAACTGTGGGGCAGCTGTTGCCTTATACAGGGTTCCCCTGTCTCATGTTTGCAGCCTCGCTGAGGGAGCAGTTTCTTTGCTGTTTCAGAGTGGTGCCCTGTACTGCTGCGGGGGGTGCTGGGAAGGAGGTGTGGGACTTGTTTTCCTGCTCGTTTATTAGTTGCATTACTCACAGAATTCACTTTTTCAGGTGGAGACTTCACAAATATTTTCTACTTGCTGAGTTCATTCTCAGTAGACTCTGATCCTTCAGAATCGGAAGATTTCTTAGAAAAGCTTATGTGTCAGTGTGCTTCTGTGGAAGAACTGAAAGTTGCTTTCAAACCGCAGATGGATCCAAGGTAATCCTCTACTTAAATGCTCTTGGCCCGTGCTTTTAGTTTCGCCATAATGAACTCTGCATGCTGTGTAATATTTGACTAAACTTGGAAATTCCAGTGTTAAGTAGAGGCATCCTGATCGACAGCAGTGCAAATTCTTGTGTATTTTGTGACTGGTGAATGCTCAGCAGTGACTTGCAGCAGTTGGCTCTTGGGCTGAAGTTGTCTGAGCTTTTGTTTGGTCCTTTTTTTTTTTTTTTTTTCTCCACTGTCTCTGCTGACTAAGGCAATGAGAGTGCCAGATAGTGATGTGATACAGAAATATTTTATAGAAGAAATGGATTTACTGTGTTCTGCCAATGCATTGTCAGCAAATAATGACCATGTTCTGGGCTAAGCTTAACCTAAATGCACACTTCAGGCTCTGAAAACCGTGTGGCGCTGTCCGCGTCCCATTTCATGGGTTATGTTCTGCAGCCCAGCTGCTCTGAGCATGGAAAAATAGTAAGTTCTGTTCAACTGCTGCTTATAACAGTGATTGCATCAGTTTTTCACTTTTTGGAGCAGTGGAAAACAGGGAATGAGTGTGATCCATGAGGTTTGTTTTTTTGTTTTTTTTTGTCTTTTTCCTAGCATCTTCCCAGATGGGGGAGGAGGGAGGAATCAAAGTGGGGATATTTTGGGTAGGGTCATCCCCCCCATCCCCACCCCATTTAATAAGTGTTCTATGATGGTAACGAACCTACAAAATTCTTCAGCTTTTTCTATGTGTTTATATCACAGTTAACTTGCGGAAAGCAGGGAGTTGAGAAGATGGACTGGTATGAAACTTGCTTGTTCAAGTTTGGTGTTAGGCCAAGGTGGCTGGCTGTAGTCATTTATTATTTTGGAGATGGCACTGATTATTTAAGTTTTAGTGATGATACACTAAAATGGAAGGGAACTAAATTAAGGTGGTGGCTACTGCTTATTTAATTGAGTTCCAGGTTTCAGCTACTTTGAAATTGTAAACAGATTATCATGCAATATGAAGATAGCTCAAATGACAGATGAGACAATATTTTTTTAAATGTTACATTCAGGCTTAGAGGAACGTGAAAAGTAGCTATAAATCATCATTATAGGGATGTAAAGCTTTGCAAGGGCATGGTACTGTGTTAAAGTGGGTACCTAATGGATTTTTATCACACCACCTGGATATCGTCAGATGTGTAAATCATATTTGGATAGTACTTCATACAAACTCAAAAATCAAAGCACCTCTCTTGTCTCTGCTTATTAGAATTAGTAAAATATAATCTGATATAACGAGTTCTGTGTTTTGAGGCCAGGGAATAATGTTTCTTTTCTCCTTTGTTTATAAATGCATCCAGAGACGGAAATAAAAATAGTGTATTTTGATGTGCTGCAACTTAGATTCTTTGGGCTTTCTATTTTACTTTTTGCCACAGTGCAGTTATTAATCCAGGAAGAACGGAAGTTAGCTAGCATGGTATCGAAAATTAGGGGAAGCTATTGTACAGCATCAGCTAACACAGTCAGATGTTAAAAAGACACAGCCCTGGTCAAACTTGCAGCAAAATAGCCTGGGTGGTCTTAGGAGTTTATTATCACAAAGCAGATCTCATCCTGTGATTTAGACTGGCTAGCTAAAAAAAATACAGACAAACTGTTGTCTCATGACTTAAACGAGGTATCTTTCCCCATAGAATTTGGGTTTTTCTTAGTACTGCTAAGATTAGTTAGGTCCTTATTCTGCATGCTGTTACAGTACTAATGTTAGGAAAAGAAATTAAAAAAAAAACCCACCTCAAACCCTATGGATTCTGTATTATCTTGATACCTAAGTAAGATCAAATTCCTTATTACGAATTCCTTTCAAAGACCAAGAGTGTTTTGATGAGAATTGCGCATCTAAACCCAATTGGTAATTCTGAAAAACCTACTGTCTGCACTTATGTACCACAGGAATGTGAATTAAACACACTGAAGAAGGAGGAAGGAACAGTAAAATTAGCATAATTTATTATAAATTTGTTCTGTTAATTATAAAATACTGATACTTAACCTCTCTAGTGAAGTTATACGTTATTGTGAGTGTTTTCATATCTACTTTACGGTTGCAAAAAGATGGTTCTTGACAGGCAGCTGAACTTCAGTTATCTAATGTGTTTGTTCCTCTCTGTTCCCAGACAGCTCTCCATGATGCTAATGTTGGCTCAGTCTAACCCTCAGCTATTTGCATTAATTGGAACAAAAGCTAATATAAATAAAGAATTAGAACGCATCGAGCAATTCTCTAAACTGCAGCAGTTAACAGCAGCTGATTTACTCAGCAGAAATAAAAGACACTGGAAAGAATGGCTGGGAGAATACAGGGAAGGTCTCTCGGGCAGTATATCTGTGCTGCATTTTATTTGAGACTGGTGTGCCTGTCTCACGAAAGACGCCCTGTCTCAAGGTATACAGGTTGGGAGGGATGTGGGGGGCGTGCAGCTCAGCACATCAGCTACTCCAAGGTCAGTGTCTGTGTTGCTGTGCAGGTTCAAGGGCATCTGTGTACTTTGTTCGCTAGATTTTTGGGAGGAGTGTGGGTATAGAAATCACCTCACATCAAATCTAGTATTAAAAGTGCTTAAAGAATGTTGATGTTGATTCTAGCAGAGACTAATTTTAGTTGTGAGCTATTAGGTGCTCAATGCTACAGTTGACTGATCTCTAAGCATTTTATTCTTTTAGATTTTTTTTTTTCTGAAAGAAAAATCTATGTATTAATATGAAAAGCAAGTAGAAGTATTCATAATCGAAGAGTAGCTGTAAAAGGAAGTCATGGCCAGAAAAGAAAAATGTCCAGACTGTTCTAATAGGCATAACTTAAAATCCTGAAAACTCAATGCTAGCAGGAGATCTGCTATAAGGAAAACCCCTTAGTAGAGCATCAGTTGTTTCTGCTGCGTGGATTAGGTCAGGGCTCTTCTCCTCACCTGCTGCCTGCCGGCTTGTTCTCCAGTGGGGCCCAGAGTTTTAGCAAGGATTCCTGCTAATGGGTAGCTCAGGCTGCCTTGGCTGTATTGTATCCCTTTACTTGCATCAGAACATCAAAAGCTTTAACCAATAAACAAGCACAGAAATACTGAAGGCAAGTTCTGAATGCGAAGGTTTTTGCAGAGCAATGCAGAACAGACCACGTGCCAGTGTCGCAATCTGACTCTTCAGAGGTTAAGGATGGTGTGCCACTTCCTCACGCCTCGTCAGGACCTGCTGATGGTCTGTCCTGCTGTTTTTAAACGAAGTGGTGTTTTGTAATCTGTTGTTGTGCTGGATTTTATAAGCTGAAAGGCTTATAGGTGATGTAGTATTTACTAAGAACTGCAAACTAAGGACCTCAAGGCAAGGAAACAGGTCAACTTTTACATGTGATTCTTGAACCAAACCAGTTGCTTTCAATTGCTTAATTTCAGAGTCCGTTTGCAAAAAGAAATAGAAAGTGTTGGTGATGCTGATGCCTGGAATACTGATCGTGTGAGGGTCATGAATTCAAACAATCCAAAATATATCTTGAGAAACTATATTGCCCAGAATGCCATAGAAGCAGCTGAAAATGGGGATTTCTCGGAGGTATGCTGTTACTACTCTAACATCTCTCTAGGTGTGTGTGGATGTGTAGTGGTGCTGTTGATGACTGACATTATCCTAGGCGAGATCATTCTGCCATCTCGGGCAGTAAGGGGATTGGGAATTTACTGTTCAGAAGGTCTGTGTTATTTATGAGGGAGCTGTGGGTTTAATGTCTGCAGAACAAAGAAAGGAATTGAAAATCTGAACTTCACCAGCTTCACCGGACAAGGTGCTTACCCCTGCTTTTACCGTCATCAGAATGGTGTTTGCCTTGGGAGGCCACTGGGGATTAATTTATACCTGTTCCTTGCTGTGCTAAGTGTTCTCTCTTAAAACTTATGGCTTTCACCTGTGCAGTTCAGCATGTGGACTGTTACATGCAGAATATGGGAAAATCAGTTTATTCTGAGAAATGACCTAAGAACTTGTGTGTGAGACTTGCATTTCAAGTTACTTGAGCTTGAGTTCTATACAGATACAAACTCAGCCAGTTACGATTTTACAGTTTTCAGCTTATTTGATACATATATATATACTGTTCATCTATTTCATATTTGGCTTGTCTGGAGTATGTGTATTAAATACAACATACTCAATCATTATTTGGTGTGAGGGTCTTCTCAACATCATTTTGCCTTTACTTTCTAAATTCTCATAGCCATGCTACATTTTCTGTCTAGGTAAGAAATGTCCTGAAACTCTTGGAGAATCCATTCCAAGAAGCAGAAGGCTTCAGGGAGGTAAAGGAAGATGAAGAAGAGGAGGGGGCAACTGCTACAGCAGCTGCTTGTGCTCAGGAGACCAGAAGCAGACTACCATATTGCAGTAAACCTCCGCTGTGGGCTTCGGAGCTCTGTGTTACATGATCTTCGTAACTGCCTTGTTTTATTTTTTGCTGTGAACTGAAAACTCTGATCTTCCTTCAGCAGTGAAGAATTCAGCAAGGCAGACATCAAAGTGCTATTGAGTTATTGAAACAACCCTACATTTGGATGCATCCGCAATGGCCTTCAGCTGTGCTTAATTTGAAGCAATCGTGCATCATCGGAACAAACCGATGACTATCGGCAGTCCCTTTACATCAGTAATTTAAATGTTTTGAAACTGAAAGTCTTTCCTTTATTGTCATACCGCATTGCAGGTAGAAAGCAATATTTTATGTTGAGGCAGGCTGAATTTCGAACATCCAAATGGAGTTGTTGTTATGTGAAGACAAAAATAGCAAGTCAGGAATCTGATCTGTTTTTGTCTGATGTCTTAACTAATAGTACTTCTAACATTTATTTACCGCTTTCTCTATGCAGGGACTTCTAGTCCTCTTCAGTGGAGGAATAGATTCATCGTTGCTTGTTTTAAGCTGTATTTCATTTAATTAAGTAGTTCATTTCTTGTGAACCTTCAGATTGATATTTATCTATTTTTAGAGAATTTGTGCAGGCTAGGGTTTGGGGGAAGCAATTGAATGTGGTGTTGATTTTGTTTGTTTTTTAATACAATAAGAGCAGAATTAAGGGAGACTATATGTGTTTGCACTTGAAAATCACAGTGGTAAAGTTTCTTCAGGTTCAGTATGCTTGCTTACAACATGTAAATATTGACTAAAATCATGGGTGCAGTTGGTAAGCCAGTTGACTGGGGCAAGGTCAATTAGCCAAGTCAGCATGAACCTTGAACTACGCCAGTACTCAAATCCAGGCTCGCTGCCTGTTGGTTTGTGTGCTCTGAACAGCATCTCCTTGTGTGAGAAGCACGCAGGTGGGTACCTGTTGGTTCACGCTGGTCAGTGGGAGTCTTCCATTCCCGCTCTGGTCTTCTACCACTTACTTTGCTTCCCGCAGTCTTTGAAAATCTTTACGCTGAAAGTTGCCGTTCGGAAACATGCTATTTGAGCTTGTGTAAAAGGTTATAGAGGGTATGGGAGGAGGATGGGAGCTGACTGGCTTTCAAGTTACTTATTGATAGTGTTTCAGTTGAGGTTTCAGGGGAAAGTTGGTTGCCATTATTGCCAGGTCAGCAAAAATAAGTTGTTCCTTAGTTATTACTTGGCTTTCTGAATTCTTTTCTAAAGGACTCTGTGCCTGAAATCTTGGGAGAAGTTTGGTTTAATGCAAAGGTTTCTCTTTTCCAAAGAGGCCACCGTCTTACACTGTGAGTTTAAGTGTATTCTAGTAAATGCTTCCTCCACCCCTGTGCAAGCTTGGTATTAGCTCAGGTTGAATTGTGCTCTCTTAAGTCTTCCTCAAAATACGAGCTATCAAAAACCAGGGAGAACAGTTGGGCTACTGCTTATCCATCTGTACTAGCGATCAGTTTGTCCTCCTTGCTGCGAGAGTAAACAGGTGATGCTTTGAATGTAAACATCCTTCTGTCTCGCCTTCGAACTGGAGAAACTGATGCCGAATAATGATTTGTGACAAACCAGAATCTCTGACAAACGTGGCACTTCCTGTGACGTTTTGGAGTCCTTACAGAAAAGGGCAGACCTGGTCCATGGGAGAATGGTGTAGTTGGAGGAGGAAGGACCTTGAAGAAGTGCCAGCAAGTAGTGCTGCTGGTCATCTTCTAGAGACAGTCCAGTTTTGCTGGAACTTCAGACTGTCATCAGGGATTGTCCTTCCTCTGGACTTGGGGGTACTGGAACCAAAACATTTAAACAGAAAGTCAGTGCTGGGTAAAAAGGACTGCACCAGGGGAGGGATGGGGAAGGGGGGAAGCGTGCCGGCAATTTGAAAGACGCTTCAAACATAGCACTGACACATTGCAGAACCAGTGGTCTCTTATGCTACACCTGGTCCAGAAGGGAGTAATGGGGGCGGGGGGGAAGTTGCTCCGAGGTGGACCACATAACTCTGTTGATTTTGTTTCTCAATTTATATCTTTCCTTCTGGGAGGCAGAGGGGAAGAGTGTTTTGGAGGAGCTCTGCCCAAGCTTTTGTCTTAACAGAGTGGTCTAAAAAGTCATGATTTTACACCAGTCTTTTTAACAGCATTCAGTGATATTAATTTGCAGGGTTTGAGTTAGATCTCTATTAATAATGGTATGGAGAAGGAGAATGATATTATAACTATGTGTTTGGACATAGGAGAACTTGAATTAACTACCAAATTATTTTGCTTTTAAAGATGCAAATTATTTTGCACCTGTAATGCCAAAATCACAGAGAGAGATATACCTTGAAATAATTTGCTAGGAGTTTTATCCTTAGAAAGGGAAATTTAATATAACAGTAAGGAATGGAAAGTGTGTCATTTCCTGCTAAATACATTCTTTGCTTACATATAGATCAAGTGCAAGAAAGCTTGAAATGAAGAATGCAGACCCTTGGCGTGGCTGCTTTGGTGTGCCACTCAGTGAAGTGGTATCATCTGTGATAGATGCAGCATGATCACTGGCTGCTTTGGTGTGCCACTCAGTGAAGTGGTATCTGTGATAGATGCAGCATGATCACCAATGGATAGAAATGCTAAGAGGGTGCTCACATTGTCGCACTGCGCTGACACTCAGCTGCTCTGTTTCTCAGTGCATGCAGTAGTATTGATGCTTTGCACTTGAAGAGCGATGATCAGAAGTCAAGTGGAATGCTTGTGCTCTTCTAGCACCCTCACTCCAAAAGGCAGGTAGCAGTTTGAGCTCTAATGAGATAGAGAGTTTCTCCTGTTCTTGTTCCCAGAGCAGCATGGAAGCAGGAGGTTGTTAGGACAGTTAGACCAAATTTTGTCCAGGTAAGAACTTTCTTAGCTCAGCTCTTCAGAGAGAAGGGAATACAGCTTGTAACATTTGGGAGTCTTAAATACTTGAATCATAAATTGCTGCTTGATTTTTACAGCTTGTATTTGCAATAGGTAAACCTGAAAATATTTCTTATTGGTCAAGTATTCTGCTTGTATAAAAGCCAAAGACTTGTGCTCAGAATGAATTGGTGACTCTTCACATCAACAGCTCTCTGTGGAGACACTTGATTAGACCTTGTCTGTGGCTGTACAGCCTGAGCTACCCTTGCATAAAAGCAAGTGGTACCCAGATTATAAAACTGAAATGAGAAGCTCTTGGAGACAGGTCTCTAGATAGTCTCACATGGTAATGGGACTCCTCTCACGACTTTGTAAGACTTCACCATAACTCTGCTTCATGAGCTTGTAAATCTACAACTGTAGAATGTTTTGCTGTCAGCTCTCACTTTGGAATGTTTTGTGTGGTTTGGGGGGTTTTTTGTTTGTTTCCAAGCAAGTGCTATGGCTTTCTTCGATTCTTTTATTAAAAAAAAAATTAAAAATGCAATTTTAATATTCTTGTTCATGCCTATTTCCTGGAAGAGTTTTGCTGTTAACCATACTGTTCAGCAGACTTCATTTCTTTAGAAGCATTTGCTCTGTGTTGACATCAGATGGCCAGGCGGTATCACAGAAACATCACTTAGTATTTTTGCAGTGTTTTCTGAGATCTGAATTATCACAGGTACTGTCTTCTGCCTTGGTAGACATTTTGGTGGTATGCCTGGGGCAAGGTAAGGACCCTCACCTTTTTTGAAGAGAGACCTCCCTCTTGGTTACTTGGCTGTAAGACCTACGTGCTGACACCTCTTTAATTCCAGCGATGTGAGAAAGAATAAAACCCACCACCTGATGTCAACAGATACAGGATGTGTTTTTAAACTCTGCTCACAGAAATAGGCCTTTGGGTAGAAAGTTGAAGATGCATTTTGTTTATTTAAACTGGATTGAGTAGCTTATCCAGATAATTTTTTTACAAAGATCTCAGTGGCTTCATAGGGAACGGGACTCTGTTCAGTGGAAAACATCTGGCATAGAGCACCTTGGATGAGATGGATGCCCTGGCATGTGGCCCTGTTGGACATGAGGAAATGAGGTATGCAGGATCTATCAATCTGTGAATTGGCTTTGCAGCATTTAGGGCCTCCTCTTACTCCTGCAGTCTGAGTACAGGGGACTTCCCTCGGAGCTGTGAGGGCCCACAGGCTCAGGAACTAATTCATCAGAGAGGATCACTCTCTGTTGACTCCATAGCTAGCTATTGGCAGAGCCAAGGGGTTTACGTGGTCCCACACTCAGCTTTAAACCAAAACCAGATCCTCATTAATGTTACATCAGCAATTTTAACATTGCTTGGTTATTTATGGCTTCCTTGAGCAAAGCTTACGCCTTTTCCTTGGCGGTGTTGATGGTGGGAGGTGGGGAGGGTGCAGAGAAAGGAGAAACGTGGGCTCAAAAGGGAGAAATGTCTGCACTGGCAGCCAGAGGAGCAGTGGTGCGCACTTGTTCTGAGACGTGGTGGTGGTATAGCCAACAACTGGCTCTGGGCAGAGCAGCACGGAGTATGTGTGGTGTATATAGGAGAGGCGGAGAGAACTGGGTTTTTCTTCAGCCTTAGGAGGCGGCTAAGGGGAAATGCCTGCTGTCTGCAGTAGCTACTGGGAGAGTGTAGAGAAGGTAGAGGTGGACTCTTCTCAAGGGAGCACAGTAATAAGAATGAGAGGCAACAAACAGAGTTGCAACATGGGAATTTGAGTAGATAAAATATTTCTTTTCCACTGCAAGGGCAGCCAAACTTTGAAACAAGTCACCAGAGGTGGTAGCATCTCAGTCCTTGGTGATCCTCAAAATGTCCCTAGAGCAGGCTGCTCAGGGCCTTGTCCGGTTGGACCTGCGTTAAGCAGGGATTGTACCAGGTGACTTCCAGAGATCCCGGCCAACCTGTGTTATTCTCTGAATGTTCTGGGGCTGACTGGCTTAGTGTACTTCAGTGCAGGGGTTCTTACCTTGTGCAAGGTCTCACCTGGGAACACTGGCAGCAGCTGATTGACTTCTGGGGCCTTTAATGATACAGCCGGGTCAGGGGAGGTTGTTAGCTGCAGTTCTGCATGGCTCCTCAGGATGCTTCAACTGGGGTGAATCTGCACTCCGAAGTACCTGTTGAACAGGATTGTTTCTGGTATTCTGCATCTCAATTTTATTTGGCTGTGGTGGAAGTGGGTTTAGGCCAAACCTGCTGCTTGTCCCTTTGCAGAGGGTGCATCCAAGCTGTCGTGGTTTAGCCCCAGTGGCAACCAAGCACTGCCCAGCCACTCGCTTGCCCCACTCCCAGTGGGAAGGGGGGGAGAATCTGAGGAGCAAAGGTAAGAAAACTCATGGGTTGAGATAAGAACAGTTTAGTAATTGAAATAAAAATAATGAATCTAATGAAAAGGAAAACAAGGGGAGAGAGAGAGAGAGAGGAACAAACCCCAGGAAAAACAAGTGATGCAGCTTCCCACCAGCTGCTGATTGCTGCCCCCTGGCCAACTGACCCCGGTTTATATACTGGGCATGATGCCATATGGTCTGGAATGTCCCTTTGGGCATTTTGGGTCAGCTGTCCTGGCTGTGCCCCCTCCCAGCTTCTTGTGCCCCTGGCAGAGCATGGGAAGCTGAAAAAGTCCTTGACTGGTATAAGCACTGCTCAGCAACAACTAAAACATCGGTGTGTTATCAGCATTCTTCTCACGCTAAATCCAAAACAGCACTATGCCAGCTGCTAGGAGGAAAACTAACTCTATCCCAGCCAAAACCAGGACACAAGCAAAGGGCTGAGGCAACCCCCAGGGTCCACTGAAAAAGCAAATCCAGGCCTCAGTTATCCTGAATTTACTTCATCAGGTCTGTGTGTCACACAGTTGAGTGTGTCTCTCCACACAGCGCCCTTGGTTACACCGCAAGCCCCCACCCGCTCAGTCTGCTCAGCCACGCTAGATCACGCCGGGCAGCCACGAGGCCCTTTCTTAACAGCCCCTGCGGTACCGGGCGGGTGGGACGGGGCAGCCTTACCTCTGCCAGAGCCACTGGGAGCCGGGCAGAGGCAATAGCCTGCGCTGACCCCTCCAGAGCCAGGCCATACTTGAGGGGAACGGATGTGAACCCAGCAGGAGGGTTTCATGACGCTATCACATCTAGTGTAAGATTACGCAGTCAAGGCTACATTCTAAATAATGTAGCCAACACCTATGTTACATCTTTTCATTTGGCTTTATGCTTCATGCTTTTACAGTGGGAGGGGTTTTCTTTTTTTCGGTGCAGTGGCAGTTCTCAGTTGCTCTCGCCTGTGTAAGAGCATCCCCGCCAGCCCTGTAGCACTTCTGGTCTCCCCCAGATCAGCCTTACAGCTGATGGATGCGGCTGTCCTGTGACACGGGGCAGGTACCATGGCACATAAACCAAAGGACGTGAGGGGTAGCGATAAACGTCCAGACAGACATGCGTACAGGCTGCCTTTTTTTCCCCCGTGTGTAATAAATAACCAATCATTCAGGTTTTACACTAACTGACTGCCTAATTAACAGGGCAGCAGAAGCCCAAAGGGAAAAGTCACACTTATCTGTCTCTGTAGCTGAGGCACGCAAAAAATCTGAAGGTCTGTACTGTTCCTCTCCTCCCCTGCTGCTGTTTTGGCTGAGCAAGGACAGTGCCACGGCACTGCAGAGTTTCTGCTAAGCCTGTGCATTCATCAGTTAAACCCAGAGGTGAGATTTAATGATATTTTGTGCAAGCATAAGCAGAAACAGTTTCGATAGGCTAAGCTGACCTACAAAGCTTATTTCACGTGTTTTCTATTCTGGAGTTGATTTAAGAAAAAAAAAATTGATGTTTTAATAATGCAGTAGAACAACAGTTGAAATTGATATTTAAATAGCATTTGCATCAATTTTTTTTTTTTAAAAGAAGTTTTACAAAGGAAGATAAATAACTTTACCATTTTGTAGGTGGAGAACCTGAAGCACTGAGGGATTAAGTGATTTTGCTGATGATGGCAAAGCTGTGCTGGCTCCCAGGCCTGGCTGGTGACTGAGTGGGGGTTCCGTCCCCTGTGCAGCTCCCTGTTGCGGTGCATGAGCTGCACAGAAATGAGAAGGACCCTGAGGGACGCTGGCTGACTGCATGGGTGCTTCCATCCATCCCTCTGCCTTTCCCCGCTGGCTGTCAGACAGGGCACCTCGTATCTGAAATGCTCTTTTTGTGGCATTCAGCACCAAGACTGGCACTGTAACGCTCCAGTTTTGTAAACCTTGTCCCCTCTTTTCTCTCTGGCCACAGCCCAAAAAAACCCACAAACCAAACCACGGGTGACCCAATCACCTTTCCTTTAACCTTTCCCCAGAAGCAGAGATAGCAAATGCCCTCACCAGTAAGGATGAAGCCAGGGCAAAAGGAGGTCAAGGAGGGAATGCCCTGCAGCTGCCTCTGACAGGCCCCATGAACTGGGAGCCCAGCTGGCTGGGGGACCTTCACCCTTCTGCCTTTAATTAGGAGTTACCAGTGCCAAGGTGTGGATCAAAATTCTGATTTGTAGATGTTTCTGGATGAATTCCAGTCCACTGCACTCAAAATTTTGTTTTACTGTGCAGAAAAGCAGGGAGCTGCTACAAGCATCTCTATACAGAAGTGCTCATGTAACATCACAAAGTTGAAAGTATGCATTAGTTTTTCTAGTTTGGGGTCATTTTGCTCTTTCTAAACAAGCAGTATTTTCCAAATAAAAACTAATTTTACTTCGTGCAGTGTCCAGACAGGATGGAGTTAACTTTCTTCACAGCAGCCTGTATAGGGCCCTGTTTTGGGTTTGCAGCTAAAGCAGGGCTGAAAACACAGCAGTGTTTTGGCTGTCGCTGAACAGTGCTTGCACAGTGCCAAGGCTGTCTCGTCCTCTCACTCTGCACCTGGCTGGGGGGGTAGGCAAGAAGTTGGGAGGGGACACAGCTAACCTGAACTGGCCAAAGGGCTATTCTATGCCATAAAACATCATGATCAGCCCTAAAAAGGGGGGCGGGGGGAGGAGGGGTAAAAGGGGTGGAGAGCATTTCTTCCTTTCCATATTTTGCTTTTTTTTTTTTTTTCTTACAGACAAAAGTCTTAAGGAAGCCATTCATCACTGCAAGACTGCACCTGAAGTCCTAACTTTGCTGCTAGATTCTTCACAAGCTGTGTCAAAAAGGATGAATCTGTTAAAATGCTCGGCATTACAGAGCTGGTGTCAGGACAGGGAGGGTGAGGCAAACAAATTCAAACAGCAGCATTCAAGCTGAATCAAAAGGATCATGGAATAGCTGAAGTTAGAATGGTTCTCTGGAGGTTGGTGAGTCTAACCCCTCCAAAAAAAATCACTATCATTATAAGTGAAAATTATAAGTACAAGGTTGGCAAGAGTACAGGGGATTAAGAAAAAAATAAAGCACTTTAGATGCTTAAATTTAAGAGAAACTATTTGTTTTATGGCAGCTTAGTGTATCTTTCACCAACAGGATGGATGAAGCATGCTACAACTGTAGCAATGGCAGGGTAGTTTTATCACACCATACATAGGAACCTTGCATTAATATGCAGTGGGATGATGGCAAGCAGCACTCACGGCTTACATCTGAGGAGGCTGATTTTTTAGTTATTCCTAAGCTTGCTGTCCTTTTCCTTCATCATACAGGACTCCTTTAGAAGTCAATGAGCAGCAGGCTGCTCCTCTTGCATAACAGTACCAGGAGTTTAATTTAGGTGCTCTGAATCACTTTCTCTCTCTTCCCTATCTTTGCTGCCTACTCAATGTCCATCTGAGGCACTTCAGGCATTTTGGAGAGCTGACTGCAGGTGGGCAGTGTGGCCTTCCTCCAGGGGTTACGTGGGGTTCATGGGAAAGCTAAAACTTTCTCTTTCTGCAGTTTACTATGGTGTAGTGCCAGGCTCCATGGTCCCAAACATCAGCTGCTTGCTCCCTGCAGAAGCTGCGTGGCTGCTCTCTAGTGGGGAGTCATGCGTCAGGACAAGGCATGGGTCTGCAACAGAAGGCACGCTTGCACTACACACCTGGCCTTCTAAGTTCCTGAAGAGCAAGGCAGGTAGACAGAGCTCTCCACCTGCCCAGGCAATGGAACAGCTCAATCTGCAAGCCCCTTGCTCTTCCAATCTCCTATTCTGTAGAACAGAAGGAAGTGAGTTAAATATAGCACAGATAAAGAAGTGGCGTAGATGATGTGCGTTACAGCTGTGCATTACCACATTTTTACACTGACATTGGTACCAGAACAGGAGCAGAAACGCTCAGGCCAACTTTACGGTTGGTATATTCTGACCCTAATGCTTAATTTCTATTTCAGGGAAAAAAACCCAAAACCAAACCCAAACCAGCCCCAGCAGTAAAACTACCTACATGTCATCAAAAAACAATGATATTAAATATTTCATAGTACTGGTAATGTGTGAGCTGTGTCTGGCCTTTGGCCACTAATCAGACAATGAGCTCCTGAAGAACACATCCACATTTTAAGCAACTTCAGGATCCCAAAATCAACATATTGCAAAGCTGAAAAATTTCAAAGCAGATTGTCTCTCTACAACATTTTCATACCATGAAGTTAAAAGTTTGGTTGTCTTTTTTCACAATATAGAAAGGAAAAAAACCCAAAACATCAAGGAGAAGGAAAATAATTAGCAAATTAAAAATATGATCCCTCAGCTAAAAGCAGTAGTCAGAATATATTTGGAATCAGAGCTTTGTTTCACTTTAGTGATGCTGAATTCCCATTTTAGCTGTTTTATATAATCACCACAAAATAAGGTGTATAGCATAAATTGGGGAAAAGGAAACTAAGTTTGGCATAAGTGATCCAACAATTACGAAGTGCTTGAATAGTCAAATACCGTACCTCCTAGCAAATCTCCTCACTGCAAGGTGGTTTTTATCATGCCCTCTTCCACTCTAATAAATGCCTTGAAGAAATGAGTTGTGGTTGAGAATTAGTATCAATTTGAAAATAAAACACATGAAATAGGTATTTATTTGCACCTCATCTCCCAACACTTTTAGAAAGTATCTCTTAATTTATTTCACATACATGTATTTACATTGGAGGAAATTCACAACACTGGAAGTACAACATTTACACATTCACAGATATACAGTTTTGCACTCTCTTCCCTGTCAAGGCCAGGCACTCAGCTTTTCTATCTTTGCAATAATGACAACACCAAAAAACTGGTAGGTGTGCTGGATTTTAAGAAGCATCATTCTCTGTATGTGGTGGTTATACTCTTCAAGCTATTAAATGGCAGGTTATTTTACTGAAGAAAAATGCCTCTTGCATGGCATTTGCATGAGCTTCTATAAATTATAAGCATATAGGTTTATCTGTTTCTGTTTTACCATGCTAGCAGCGATCCTTACTCTACAGAGTTCAGTTATCCTTGTAGTAGTTATTAAAGTTGATTCGCAGTAGAAAGTCCTCCAAATGCGGTTGGTATCCTCTATTTACAAGCTTTGTTACCACTGGAATAAAAAACAAAAACAGAAAATGAAATAAGCTTCAACTAAGATTAATATTGTAAAGTCAGCCTTGACAGCATCTGTGCATTTTAATGCAACTGTGCATTTTAATTAAAAAAAAAAAAAAAAAGCCTAATGCAGAAATCTGAAAACAATGGAAACAAATGTCTATTTTTGCATAAGAAATGTCTATTTTTGCGTATCTCTTTCTGGAATTATAAAGTATTTCAAATAAGATTGAAGAGAAGGATTACATGTTAGTTCTAAGTGAAGCTGTATTTTCTAATGAGGAAATGCTTTCTCAAGCTGCTTTCACAATAAGATGGTACATTCTTATCATAATGTCAACTGACCAGGAAGCACGTTTAGGTCCTCTGGTGACCTCTGTGAAAGAAGAAGCTCTGCTGAAGTTTTCTTGAGCAAAGTCCATTGTGAGAAAGAAAAAAAACAAAGAGAAATTCCTGGGACAAACCCCTCAAGCTCTGTGAATGAACAAGCCCACTGCTCTAAACACCCTTAGTAATAGAGGAAAAAAGGCAATAGAAACTCCCTAAGCTCATAAACATCCCATGCATGAAGGGAATTAGCAAGCAGCAGTAACATGCAAGGAAGAAGGGAGAGTGTATAGTTAGAAGTTCGGGCCTGAGCCAAAGCCATTGAAGTCCAGACTGCTTTGTATTGGCTTTCAATGGATTCTGGATCAACCCATTGTGAAAGAGCGTTTTACAGTACACGGTGACTGAAGGAACAAGTGTAGATGAACAAGCACACATTTGTTTTGTAGTGCTTAATAAAGAGGGTGTAAAGAACTAGGTCACTCAGCAAATTTCCTTACGGAATGGTCTATTAATCTCTGTCCATGAAGCAACCATAGATCTCGTAGTATGGGCTTAGGTGGCTCCCAGAGGTGTTCTGACTTCCTGTAGAATTTGGAAGCAGCCATTCTAACTCATCCTGAAATACCTGGTTTTGGTCCTTTGACACCATTTTTGGACACCCTTAAAGAATAAAAAGGGCAGCTCATTTCCTCAAGAATGTAGTCTGACTAGAAAGTATTCTAGAAAAACAGACAGTTGCACTTCCTTCAGGAATTAAGGGATTGCTAAAAAAAAGAAAAAAAACCAAAACCACCCCCAGCCAAACCCCATGAACCACCTTTGTACTCAGGGGAAGGGTAAGTAACGTGTACTAAAAATGCAAGCAAGACCTGAAAGAGAAATGGGGAGGAAAGACAGATCAACCATTTCTTCACATCACAGGCTAAGCTGACAGCGCAAAGACACTTTAGCATGTTAAAGGAAAGAACGTTTGGCAATTGATCTGTGCAGCTGAAACACACATTCCTGGAGCACTGGATATGAGCTCCAACTAGTGCTAGGAGGCTCTCTGAGCTTTAGTCCAACATGGGAATCAGAATTTTTAAATCTCGTAACGATGGTAATACTCAACTAATGCAGATACATCTAAAATTACTTCTAAGTGGTATCTCACTATCTCTCATTGCGACCAATAAAAAGTTCCAGAACTCAATTCTAGAGAAAAGAAGAATGTAGGCACATATATAGAGCTAAATACCAAACACTTATTTTACAAATCAGCAAAAAATTATGGTCAGTTTTGGGATATCTGTTAGATTTCTTGTGTGGACATTTTAACTGATAGATATGCAGATCTTTGCAAACACAATAATGCGGTTTTCATTGGGTAACTACATTTTCTATCAGACACTAAGTACACGTATCTTCCTACTGCTACATTATACTTCCAAAACCTCCTTGTAATTTTTTCAGTTGTCAGTTGACTTTTTCTTCTATCTAGAAATCATGCAATTTCTTACCTTTGAATAAGAAGTGGGAGTAATACTTGAAGGTATTGTATGACTGCTGCATCAGACCAAAGTTGGGATGAACAGCCATTTGCTTCCCTGCATCGAAGCTCCACGACTGAGAGATCAGCTGGCTGCGGAACTTCAAAATGAGGCTGAAGATGCTATGTATAATGTTCATCACAGGGGCTGCCTTCTCTGTCAACAGACCCCTAACAGAACAAAAACAATTTTAGAGATCTAGTTGACATAATATATTGGTTGTAGGCGAAAAAATACAAAGGGGTGACAATACTTTAGGTTTCCTCTTTAACTGCTTTAAAAAACCCCAAAACAATCCACAAGATTGCAGCCAACTGTAATGGTGATTTTAAAAAAGGTGCCCAAACCTAACATAATTTGCTTGCGTTTCCAAGAAACTGATATTTGCACTGGTGTATCTGATTTCTAGAATGACACCTGCATTTGCAAGAGATGACTTTAGAAACATTATTGTGCTCTGAGTTTCCTTAAACTTTAATCCAATCCCCTCTCATCCCATCACTTGGTATCCAAACAGCAGCTTTAGCCAAGTTTTTTCTTACTAAAACTGAAAGAGAGAGACATGAAAGGACAGATTTCTCTTCTTGTTTACAATTTCTGTTCTTTATCATCTCTTCTCCCTCCGTCTTCCCACTTTATCATTCCACTGTATACTCTTTAAGAAGAAACCAAATAAACCCTAGCTCCTCTCCTCTCATTCACATCACCCTTTTGCCTCATATACAGTAACCAAAGGGCTAAAATATTTTGATTCCTAAAAGACAGAGGTCTCTTGCACTGCTCATAAATCTGGACAGAAGCATCAGGTCACATTTGTCCCTTCAAAGTCCAGTCCTGGTCACTGCACATATATTAAAGGCATATATAATGTATAGAAGAACCATTTTACAATCCTTGAGCTAGGCTTACTTGTGCACACTATTCGTGCTGAATGAAAAAGCATTAATTTACAAAGGCTATGACAAGGATGGGGTGAAAGAAAAAGAGAACTGTGGCAAGTGTGCCATTAGCCTTCAGGTTAGAGTCCTCCTGAGTGGACTTGAAGCTTGCAGAGGCAGGGTGAACAGGAGCTGGAAGCAACCCCAAGGAGTCTGGGGAAATGAAGAGGATAGGTAGCTGAGGAAAAGCATTGAAGTATGGACCTCGTAACATGCCACTGAGTTTGTTTCCCTTACATAAGAACACTTTCATACGTGAAGACCACGTAAGTATGTCAGGTAGAAGTCACTTTTGCACAAATACGTTAGACTGGCAGTTCCATTAATTTATAGATATTTGAAGCAAAAATAAGTATGGTAGCTTGCCTGAAGATTGCTTTATTGAGGTATTCAGCGTGTGTTCTGTGAATTTCTTCCAGGTTGCCTACAGAAGACAGTTTGTTTCCAAATTCACACCAGGTAACATGAAGAATTTGATTAGCAATGTAACCTTGAATAACTTTCACAAAATGTTGCATTTCGTGTTTATACAGCTGGAGCTGTCGAAACTGAACAGAATTTGATGCATGACTCACTAAAGCTGAAAATAAAAACAAAAATGTATTATCATCAGCACCCACGGAGACTGTCTAAAATCAGGATTTTCAAAGGAATGAAGGTTTCGGTTAGTATAGTCTGTTTAAAATGCCAAGGAAGTTTCTTTAAAAATTGTGGCTTTTGAAGCTTGACTGTTCATAAGCAATTGTCTAGCACAGGGTGCTAAAAGCATTTTAAACAGGACGCCCTCTAGTTCACTCACAAGACTTACCAGTGCGTTTTAAGTGAAACCAAACATCCTTGAGAGTCCACACCATGTGCTTCAGCTGAAGCAAAAAGGAGAAGATCTTGTTGTATTTATTCATGCAGCTCTCAGTAATGACAATGTTCAGAGGCCAGTCAACCTAAAAGAAATAACAGTGCTGATCATACTACATTTTTGTGTTAAAAGTTGTAAGAATATTTCAGATACAAGTATTTCAGGGAGATACAAATTAACATATATATTTTAATAATGTAATGCAATGGCCAGGCTAAGTAAATCCCATCATTTCCAATACACATTTCTTTGACTCCATTCTTAAAGGTATTCCATTATTAAGAACATATTCACTCTATCACAGTACGTAAGAACCAGGGTATAATTGCAGTACTACCACCTTTCTCCATGCTTTCTTACCTTGTACCTTAGCTCTAAGCAACTCAGAGCATCAGGCGCATTGGGCTTGAACACTTCTGGAAGGTATTTGAGGGCAAAAGAAAGATTGGAAGCAAGCTGGGTGTCACCATGAAGACTGTACTGTAATGCTTTATTTAGGATAGAATTAAGAACCAGTGGATTCAGCAATTCACCCGGTGTTTGTCCTGATCCAAGCTAGAGAGGGAAAAAAAAAAAAAATCCTAATTACACAGTATTAATAAAGAGTCCTGGCTCCCGAACACAGGTGAATTAAAGCAGAGTGGTAAAGTGGTGACTATGCTGCCTTTGCTCCATTCTGATTGGAAGTTTCTACTTCTGGCATAGGGATGCATAAACAACGTAAGAAGCAACCTCTGAAATATTTGCTGTTCACAGCATGAAGGTAATCTCATACCTATACTGATGTATTTTGCTATGTTGGACTGCAGTTTGCTGTGGTTTAGGAGCTGCTACACATCCCCACTGCAGGGAATACAGCCTTTAGGCTTTAGTGGGGCAGAAAGCCAGCAGCAAGACCGGTATTATCTACCTGACTCCAATCTGCCTATCTTGTCAACCCTTAGAGGTTTACAAATAAAGCTTTTCATCTAGTCTACATCCCCAAGTTGGGTCTAAAGCATTCAGAGAAATGCATTAACTATCCTACAGCCACATATTTCCACTGGCAACCAGCTATATTAGCCCAGGCTACCGCTCCTACCTTGCTGTCTCCCCCACAAACTCAGGGATAAGTGATGAAAATACAGTCTCATCAGAGGGTCCAGCACCCTCTTCAGATGGACCTGCCCTCTGCTCTATAGGATATCCGAGGTAAGAGTAGGTATTTTGCAACGCAGGCCTTTCCACTGGATTTTAGGAAATGGCAACAGGCTCTTCCAGGCTTGCTGCCAGCAGATGGGAAGGGACAGAGCAGTAGTGCAGCAGTTTTCACAGGCAAGAGTGAAATGCCTTTCCATGACGGCTTATCTTTCACAGTTTGAAATTATTACCTTCAGTGAGGGTAACTGAGGCAATTGAGCCAGAGGTGTACACAGGTGGCCAAGAAGGCCAACGGCATCCTGGCTTGTATCAGGAGTAGTGTGGACAGCAGGAGTAGGGAAGTGATTGTGCCCCTGTACTCCGCACTGGTGAGGCTGCACCTCAAACACTGTGTTCAGTTTTGGGCCCCTCACTACAAGAAGGACATTGAGGTGCAGGAGCATGTCCAAAAGAGGGCAACAAAGCTGGTGAGGGGTCCGGAGCACAAGGATTATGAGAAGCAGCTGAGGGAACTGGGTTTGTTTAGCCTAGAGAAAAAGCCTGAGAGGAGACCTTATCGCCCTCTACAACTGCCTGAAAGGAGGCTGTAGTGAGGTGGGTGTCAGTCTCTTCTCCCAAGGAACAAGCCATAGGGCAAAAGGAAATGGCCTCAAGTTGTGCCAGAGGAGGTTTAGATTGGACATTAGGAAAAATTTCTTCACTGAAAGGGTTATCAGGCACCGGAATGGACTACCCAGGGTGGTTGAGTCCCCATCCCTGGAGGGTATTTCAAAGACAGGCAGATGAGATGCTTAGAGACATGGTTTAGTAGTATGGTTGGGCTCAATGACCTTAAAGGTCTTTTCCAACTAAATTATTCTATGATTCAATTTGCCAAATCCTTATACTCTCTCTATGGCTGGGATTAGCAGTAGGAAATATGACTCTCTTCCTTGGGACTTCCTTGGGCACAGCATCCTTTCCCAACAAAGACCTTCTTTTGCCTCAGTCCTTAAAACATTAACAGAATTCCTTGCTACAAGACTTCTTGACAGGTCACAAAAGAGGAAAACAGCATAAACCAGGATTCTAACTCGCATCATTCCGTCATTCCCATCCAAATTAATCCAGAGGTGTCAAGCTAAAGCAAACAACCCAAAAACAAGGGTTAAGACAACAAAGCAAATACCTTCTCAAACAACAGGTCACTGAGTGACTGAGCAAACTCCCCATCTTCCATTAACAAAAAGTGTCTCAGTGCTTCAAAATGCTTCTCTACATTCAGCTCCACAAAGTAGTAATCAACTATTGCTTTGTTCACAAGAGAAACACTAAGAATAAAAACACAGAAAAAGTATTATTCTTACAACCAACTCCTTCCTCACTGTTAACACTCAGCTGTGGCTACGTCTGTTTAACGCTCCATTACTTAACTCTGATATCCAAGACAGGATAATATTCACACAGGCAAAAAAATCTTCATCCAGAATATACCGGAATTAAAGCCTACCACGTCAGATAACTGGGTTTTGAACAGTACTGTGGGAAGTATTTTAAGACTGGCTACATATAATGATCTTCACAGCATGCTGCTGGGCCTGGAGCAACTTTTTATCAATAGCCTTCTGTCTTATCTCTGTCACCTACACAAACAGATTAAGAAAGACTATTAAGTCCCTGAGAAGATCCTAACTGGTAAAGCTCTGACACTAGATATTGAGGGCAGATCTATACTATAGTTTACAGTACAGTGTAGGTATTCAAGCTAGCTTTAAATAATTTAACTTTCATATCAGGGATAGGCTAATTTTGCCAGTATGCAACTCAGGCTTGCTTTCTTTGCTTTGCTCAATACATGAATCTGTATACAGATCGTTCTGGTAGTTTTAAACATCCAGGTTGGCTAAGTTAGATAATTACATCTTTCTACCACCAAACTTCGAGTACAGCATGAGTTAGTAAATGGAAATTTACAATTTTACTAACTTTGAGTTAGTAAATGGAAATCCAAACTCACAAGAAAGTAGATTCCAAAACAGGAAGCATTTCAACACATCTGTGAATAACTGATTTAATGACAAAAGCTAATCTTGTACATAATAACAAAAACTTTTCTTTAAAATACCATTAGATATACTAATAAAGTGGTCCAACATATATGTGGTTTCCCTGTATGTTCCAACAGTAACAAGAACAGCTTCTATTAAACTTCAAAACAGCCTTGAAGCTGGAGTTCCCACTGAAACATAAAATATATCCTGATCAATATGCACAAGCTTTCACATAAAAGAGTTTTCTTTTTTCTCCCCTTATCTTTCACCTGTCAAATAAAAACTAGCACAAACGTTATAAATAATGCACCTTCTTTCTAAAAGAACAAGGAAAGCCATGGTGTCAAAACCACTGCTGCATAATCCACTTCCCTCCAAGCTCTTGTATTTCAAATAGACTTTAAAATTTTTAATTTACACATAAAAATGTAAGTTTATGTTACTATTTATAACATAAATCTCATTTTTTTAGTTAGTAATGGTCCATCCACTGAAACACTTCTGGGAGCAAAGAGAAAAATTAAGAGAGACAGATCTACATGCAACTCCTGTCTCAAAAGAGAACTAATAAAGAACACTACATTAATTGCTAAATTATGGATTCATTATTTCTAACAAATACTCACTGAGAGACAAGTGGAGCAGTAATAGAACGTTTCATCAGCACTGGCAGAGATAAGAGCTCACTCAGCTGTACAGCTGTTTCATCTGTTGCTGACTGTACCATAGGATCCACAGGAAAAGTGTACGATCTCGGTATCACATGATGCAAGAGATGAGAAACTGGTAGTTCTGCTAAATTTAAAAATATATAAACATTGTAAGTTATTATATTTAAGCAATTTCATAATCAATTTCTATTAAACTCTACAAACCCCTCTAGGTTAGAAAATCATAGTGTGTCAAAATGTATTTCTCATCTTTGTGCCTAGAAGCAAATCACTTGGCTACTGCAGTTATTGGTAATTTACTGGTAATTCAGGTGTTTTTTCTGGCACTCAGCTTTCTTGCTCAAGTTTACCACATCTTCTATTGATCTACTGTTCCAACAGTTCTACTCACACATCAAATCATAACTATCTTGATATTTTTCAATACAATACTGATCCGATAAGGCTTTCAAATAAGCTTGTTCTTTCTTCCATGTATCTTCCTCTTCCCCTTCCTCCTCCTTAGTCTTGGGAGCATTAGCTTCAGAAAATAAAGTTTCTTGAGGCACAGTATCTTGTGGAATTGCTTTTTCAGGTTCTTCTGGCTAAAACAAAAAAAAAGGCTTTGTCTACTCACACTTAATATGTTCTTACAGGTAACTGACTAGTTGTTCCAACTGAAAACAAGACCTTACTCACCTGTATTTTTCTGACATGTAAAACCAACATGGTACTACAGTGATTACCAGACGAGGACCGAAACTTTTTACCTTAACTACCAGTGTGCTTAATCCTTTGAAGGAAAAGGAAGTATTCTCAACAACTACTTTGTTTCTTACCTGTAAGCTCTGTGAGGAATCTGGAGAAGGGTCCTTGTTGACCACATTTGCAATGCCTGTAATTACAAGTAAATTAAAAACAGCTTTTACTTAGACCTGCTTATAATACTAAGTTCATACTTCAGATCTGCTCCTGAAGCTCTTCAGAATTTCTCTACTGACTGTCACAGTAGAAACCACCCCAATAACAGTCCCTCCCCATGGTCCCACCCAGGCAGTTTTATGTGTGTTCTCTACTCGAGATCACACAAGGTTCTGCTTCACAAAGTTTCAGACTACAATTTTTGTAACGCTCTGTTTCTTGTATATAGGAGACAAGACTAAGCTCAAATTCTATCCTCTGAATTCTAACGGTGTTCAGAAAGTTATGGCAAGGAATTGGGTAGTAAGTACCCAATTTGAACATAAACATTTACACTTCCATGAGCCCTTAAACAAATGCTGACTGAATACACTTAATTTTATTTTACCTTCTTGTTTCTCTTCCATTGTATTTTCTTTTTTGTCGTCTTTAATATTAGCATCAGGAATGACTGTAACACTGTCAGATGACTGCGACTGTGGAGGAGATAATTCTTCACTGTACAGAAGTGTCTGAACTGTGGAGTCAGATGAAGGACCTGAAATGGTTTTACGATGAGGTATTGGATCATTTTCTGTAGATGGGGCCCACTTCCCTATTTGGATGCTTGACTGGGATGCGTGACCAAACGGGCTCCAACGAGATTTCAAAGGCTCTGTATCTGAAACCAGTTCTCCAATTTTGATGTGTGACTGTGAAGCATGCCCATGGATGTTCCAACGAGGCCTAGCTGAGACCACCTCTGACACGTTTTCACCAATCTTGATATTGGCATCAGATGCATGACCATGGATGTTCCATCGAGGCCTTGTAGGAGCTACATTTGACACGTACTCTCCAATCTTAATATTGGCTTCTGAAGCATGCCCATGAATATTCCACCTAGGCCTTGAGGGCTCTACCTCTGAAGCATATTCCCCAATTTTAATATGAGCTTCAGAAACATGCCCATGAATATTCCACCGGGGTCGGCTAGATTCAACTTCAGAAGTATAGCTGCTGATTTTTATATGGGAATCTGAAGAATGCCCATAAGGACTTGAATGGGGCTGGTAAGCATCCACATGAGGTACATATTCTCCCATTCTAATGTTGGCATCAGATGAATGTCCATGAACATTCCACCGAGGCCTTCTGTACTCCATATCAAATACATTTTCTCCAACTCTAACGTGTCCCTGCCAAGCTGCAGACGGTCTGAGAACTGTATTAAAATCATACTCCTTTGGCTGATGCAATGGTGCACTGTCCTCTCCTTCCAGTGCTCCTCTCAAGACAGGCTGATTTTCCCTTACTTGCGAAGTCTCAGAAAGATCTGAGTTAATATTTCGGAATGCTTCATCTAGCAAAGATCCTTGTACACTAATGGCAACAGGTTGTTCATCTTGTGGCTTTGATAAGAAATCTTCTATATTCACATTGGATTCAGGCAAGGAATCAGCACTGTATAGAGGACTGCATGCTTTCTCTGAACTTTGGAGACTGCTTTCAGATCCTGCTGCTTTAGGCTGAAAATACTGATCAGCGTTATTATTTGTCGGTTCTGGCATGGGCAGTGCTTTGTCAGCACAAGTAGCATATTCCAGTCCAGGCTCAGATTCTTTTCTGCCAACTGTCTCATTAGAATGCAGAGGCTTCACAGAAGACACCTAAAAAAGAAATAATTATTACACCGTATGGCTAGTCACATTATCAAGCTACTTATTAGGGCGCCACTTTATTGCAAATAAGATTTAAAATACTCCAATTTTTCAGATGTACTACAAATAACGTGATAACTACTCACCCTGCTGTCATAGTGAACCTTGCATTTACTGAACTGAAATGAACCATGAAATTAACTCCCTTGAGGGAAACTTGGAACACCAACCTAGAGTTTATGTAAGAAAATAAACTCACCTGTGAATGTGGCTCTTTCACAACAGGGTTTTTATCTAAAGCCAACTGGCACTGTTTATACGGAATAATATCTAATTTTCTCCTGTAGTTTCCATCTGGAAGTTTTTCAAGCATTTCCTGGAAGTAAAAATGACAAAACCAAAAGTCTTTAAGTACCAAGTACAAAATTTTCTAAATTACATTTCTTAAATCTTTTCAGAAGATACCTCGATGTGTTTTTGATCTTCTAATAGAAACTTAAGACGAGCTGTTTCCAACTTGTGTCGCTGGATTTTCCATAACGCTCTTTGTTCCCTACGGGCTGCATCATCAGAAAGTTTGCTATAATGGTCAATTAATTCCTGCCTAAATGAAGGCAAAAATAAAGCTAAGTTACAGATTTTCGCATACTGATTTTCATCTTCCCTTCTAAAGAGTAAGACCTTTTAGCACTTCAGAAGTGAGAAGCAATTTTTTTAAAAATAGAAGCCAGAGGTTTCAATCACAGAGCAAACAGGACTGTATTCTTAGTCAGCATGTATTTCTGTATCTGTTCTTAGTAGGTCACTCATTTATCTTAAGTATTTTTAGACATAACAGAAGAAAGTGAAATACAACTAGATCCACAACAAAAGCAATTTATATAATAATCAATCTAATTCTTCTGTCTGCTTTTTACTTCTGTGTTGACATACATGTGACATTTTTGCTGTGGGCTCACCCTTTAACTGTTAAGACATAGTTAAATTTTTTCCTGAAATTCTGTTCATAGCAAAAACCAGACTGGATAGGGTTGATGCAAATCAGATTTTTGGGCCACTAACCATTCCCAAATCACAAAACTGCTCACAGATTACCAAAAATCCTTACATCCATCTTTTAACTGCAAACATTACCCCTGCAGAGCAATGTCTGGGAACTGCTAGTACCATAAATTTTAATATACAATAATTTTTCCTGAGGTCTTTATCATAGTTTTGGAGTATCTAAGCTTTGGGAGACTACTTGGGTACATTTACCTTGCCTTTTTTTCCAGTTCTTCTTCTAAAGCTTTCAGTCTTTTTTCTCTCTCCCTGAGCTCTCGGGCGTAGCTGAAATCATCATCAATCTCCTCTTGCTTTATTGCAAGGCGACGCTGCATAAATATTTAACAAAAGCCACTCTCAATACCAGCTGTAACAGACACACCTGCAAGAAGTTCTCACTTGTACCACATGAGCTATTCATTCAACTTCAGTAGAATAAATAAAGATATCCTTTCAATTATTTGCCTAACAAATACAGTTGGCTTTTAGAAACACACAGAGAAATACCTCTTGGTCTTTTGCAAATTGCTCTTTCAGTTTCTGAAACTGTTCCCGTTTCTTTGCATCCAAAGCCATTCGTTCTGATATTTGTCGATCTGTATTAAAATAAAGACAATGTTAGTTTGCATTAACCAACCCACTAGAAAACACAGGAAACACCACCGCAACTTACCGTTAATGGCTTTTAGTACTTTGCTAGCAGTTTCTCGAGCATGAACAATTAATTCTTGTTTGGCTATTTCCATACGCAAATCCTAAAAACAAAAAAACCAAACAAAATTACAAGTGGGAATTTTTTCCATTATTTTAGACTTAAAAATACACTGTTGCAAAGACAGGTGCACACTTTATAATGGTCATTAATCTATGACTACAGTATGGAAATATGAATAAAGCAATTAATTAAATGGAAAGTCTATAAACTAATACTGAAAGTTAATACTCCAGACCTTACAACAAACCAAATCCATCTGATATATACGCTATATTGATGGCATCCAAAAGACAGAAGTCTCTTTATAGCTAATAGAGTTTTGAAAAAACAGTTAGCTCTGCAAATTACAAAGAGAGTCTTATCTGGTTACTAATTAGCTTGCCACATTTGTTAAATTAGAATCTAACAATCTTTTCAGTACTTTTCAGTAGGAAGGCAAATCTGCTGCTGCAAAGAACTAAGATAGAAGTCCAAAACTCATTTAATATACGAAAATGCCAACAAATGACAACACACTACCTATACTTTTAAAAGCTATATTAAATAAGTTTATTTGCTGCAATAACAATCAAACAGCAATTGACCAATGAAGAAATTCTGACCATAAATAGAAGTTCTTTCAAAGTTACAACAAAAACGAAAAATAAATATTTTTTAAAAATCCCAACGATTTTTTATTCATTTACCTTCTCCTCCTTGCTTATGGAACTGTATCGGGCAATTCTTTCCATTCGACCTACATACACTGCACAATCTCTCTCTATTTCTTTCAGCTCCTCAAGTGAAAAAATAACTGAAATCCGGGGAACAGGTATATCTGACCAACATATATAATGCTGAAAAATGAGAAATTCCCTTTTAAATACATTTTTAAAACTGCAAAATGATAGATTATGAACTCACATTATGTATTTTTTTTAACCTAGCAATGCATAAAGATACTGAAACGCCCCCCCCCCCGGAACTACAATTTTTATTAATATCATTGCAATACCAGTTTTCAATAAAGGAGCAAACTTGTTAAAAACCTAGATACTTGCTCTAAAGAGACATGATTTTTCTCAATGTAATATGAAGGAACTGAACCAAAACTTACCCTAGGACAGCACAATTTCAGCAAGTTTATGGTTTTTCCGCATATGTATACATCATTAGCAATATGTTTAAGAAATACAGGGACACAATCTTCTACTTCTTTTGAAATCAAAACATAACCATGAGTCCAGTAATGTTTATCTACATATCAAACAAAAAGATGAAAGCATACAATTTTAATTATTTAATTAACAACACAAATTATATAAATTAGCAATGTTCCATATACATACTGTACCTCTGAAACAAAGATAATCCTCATTCACCTGGATCATAAATTCTCCATAAACATCTCTGAATACACCACTGTATACCCAATCATAGATAAATCTAAAAAAAAAACCAAACCCATAATTGTACAATATTGAAAATCAATCCTCTCGCCTTCTCAACTTTATTATAACCAAAAAGTAAGTATATTCTTTAAAACGTCAAAACACACAAGCTGCAGGCAGGATAAAAATCAGCAATTAAGCACTGTCACACTGATATTTGAAGATACACACAGGATTGTGTCTCTACATCTTTCTTAAAAGAATGCATCTTTATATAGAACATTTCAGTGATAATTAGTTAAGATGAAAGAACATTGCTTTAATTAAAACAATCTTTTTATTTCTGTACATTAATTTACTAATTATATATTAAAAATTTTAGAAATCTTTGCAGCACATCAAAAGCATAGGGAGAGATAAGCAGGAAGGATTTCTCTTAAAGAAAGGTAACTAGCAGGGAGATAACTGTTTCTAGACATTGGGCCAGTGCAACAAGCAGGAAGCATTTAGCACAGGAAACACCATTCAATTTTAAGGTTGTAAGTAAAAAGTTAAGAACTTTTACAGTGTTAAATTTGATGTTTCTACGATTTATTTGAGCAACAACTTCTACTATTGAATTTCTTTGTGGTTAATAAATAAGTGCGGTAACACTTTCTGCAGATAATGGAGCCCTCCTTCCATGGCAGCCCTGATCATATATTGATTGATGTTTCGATAAAGATCTGCAACAAATTCAGGAGTCAATGCTGTAAGTATGACATACTAGTAAGCATACTTTAATCTTTTTTAGGTTCCTTGTGATGCCATGACATCCTGCCCTTAGTATTTCAGAAATCTGACTACCTTCTACAAATTGCAGGGCAGGAGCTGTAAAGATATTTCAATGAGCCAACTTATGGAAAATCTCAAATTTCTCCAAAGAACATAAGAACATTTTATGTAGAAAGAAGCAAAAAACCAAGAAGGATGGCCATGGGAGGTATCCTAAATTTAGATCATTTTGACAGATTTTGGATTTCTCTTTCTAGTGTCATTACATCTACTAAGTATTGTTGTAAACTGATGATGGACTACAGCTACACTCCCTATACGCAGCTATTTAAAAAAAATTAACTAACAATTTCTAAATTGATGTGCACTGCTTAACAGAACTGTTGCAATCCAAGGAACTCTACTTCCTATTGTTAGCTAGTTACATCTACTTAATGAACAACAGATTTTTTTATTTATTTTTGCTTATTAAAAAGCCCACAAGAAAAAGACAGTGGAAATAAGCATGAACTTTCTCAGTTTGTGCAACACCAAGAGAAACCTGTTAGTTGCCAGTTTAAGGACTTTACTACAGGTATAAGAAAAAAAACCCAGACATTTATTGAAGTCTTATATTCCAGTATGAATTTCCAGGACCAGCAGCAAGAAAGAAGTCTTATTTACATGTATTTATTTATTAATCTAGTCACACATAAAATCCTTATGTTGCCACTGAGCTGGAAAAGAGAGGGAAAGAAGGATTCTGCAAAATGAATTAATTCTAACATGTATTTTGCAGATACAGCCACATCTTATATTTTCTCTGACAATGTTAAAAGCCATTGTTAAATTAGCAGAGTTACCAGATTACTGACTCAGAACTGCTCTTAAACACAAACATACAGAGAACAGTATGGACGCACCTTGTGTATGGTTCACAGCTTGTCTTCAACAAAGACAGAAGAACTGGATAATGCTCATTGCTACAGTTGTTGAGAGCCTCTTTGTACAGATATGAAAGCAATTTAACACCCTAAAAAAATTGAAAAATATTCTAACATTAGGCAACAAACTTCACTACAACTTTAATAACAAAAGACTCATAAATACACAGCTTTAGATGTTTCACTATACACAGAAGGCAGGATTCATCTCACTTCCTCTAGATATCTGCATTTAATATCACCTTATATGAGCTAGTTACCTCCAGCTCACTTTACAGTCACTGGAGAGAAACAGGTATGTTTAGGGTTGGATTCGTTTGACTTGCTACAAACATCTCCTTTAGAAAGAAATGAAATGTACTCTAAGGGTTATTTTGGGTTATTTGTTTACTTCAGGAATCGAAAACACAGGACAAAATTCCAAATTTTAAAATATGTGGAAAAAGGATCACGGCATTCTAACTGGAGGTCCAAGGCCATATAACTGGTAGTAGGGAGACCAACACTAAATATTTTATGTAAAATCCTACCTAATTTTCAAAATATTAACACTGTAACCCAAACCAAACATAAAAATATCAAATTAATTATCACCGTAGGAAATGAAGCACCAGCTCCACCACTGATCCCCAGCGTTGTTGTTCCTATGCCACACAACTCAGCTAAATACCTAAAAAGCAATATTAAAGCATATGTAACAATTTCAACCAGAAGTTTCTGAGATCACAGTGATGAACTTCAGCAAAGCTGAATATCATATGACCACCCTACTGTATCAGCTGAATGGTAATAGCGATAACAAAGAAACTAGATATGAAGATGTTACATGTTTTCCCTAGAATCTTCTGGATATAAAGAAATATTTCTGTTAAAACAGAGGAAAAATGCTGAAAGACTATGTAAGAATGCCTATGTAATTATTGTCTCTTTTAGTGTATATGAAGAAATAGATTGCATTTTTTTGCTATGAAAAGCTTAAATATTTAATAACATTCTCTTACCTCAACTGGCGACCTAATTTCCTGAAGAGAAAGCTGATGGTTAGAAGACTTAAAGTAGGAGGTGTTGACAAAACACAGGCTCGGTAATATTGAAGATACTTTCTGAGCCCACTTGTGAATGCCTAGTATCAACAGAAAATATTTAAAGTCTTACTGTTAGAGCTGTTAATAGTCTATCTATGTCTCACATCAATTGCATCAGCATGCAAACAAACCTTTTACTAAAATAACTTGCATATGCAGGTAAGAGGGACTTGTATACCAAAGCAAGGGGAAAGTAAGAGTTCATGCAACTTCAGACATTCAGATTAGCCAGATGACTCCTCTGTACTCTTTATACATCCAATGCATGAAGCCTGTACCCACGCACAGTATAACGAAGCATCTTGGTTCAGCTTCCTTGGACTGCCCTTTGAGGAGCTCCTCGTTCTCTAACAGCTGCAATATGAACCTAGGGAAACCCATTTCCTTACTTCCATGCCTAAACTGGATACTGGAAAAAACTTGTCTACAACTTTTTCTAAGAAGACAAGGAGAGAGACCTTCTTATTCAATTTCTATTAAGATTGCTGTAAATAAGATATTCAGAATGAATACATTTTCATCACCAATTCTAACTTAATTCTATGCATTAGAAAGAGATTAAACCACCTGATATTACACAGCGTACGTACAATTCAGCATAATATACAGAGGACTGACAAGGAAAATTTGCACTTAATTCTGACCTGAGAAAAAGTAATTAGAGCTATTAAATATCATATTTCTCTACTGCAGTTTTCATTTTAAAAAAATATACATTATACATATACATACTGTATTAAGAAAGTTCATCTTAATGCATAAGTATGTGATGCTTTCAAAACATCTAAAAATATTCCTTTAGTCCTCAACAGAACAACATGACTAAACAAATCACATTTCAAGTAGTGAAGACCTTTTACCTTGTGTTTCAGTGCAAGCATGCCCTAAGCACACAGAGCTGTGATTTAAACACAGTGGCACCATTCATTGCCAACCTGGGATGAGCATTACACTTAAAATGCTTTGTGGTTTTGCAGAATGCAGAAATTCCAGCTTTACATAAAATCAAAGCCACCTTCTCTACCTAAGATAATTGGCCCATTAAATCTAGATCATTTAATACAATTGTTTTACCTGAAACACAAGTCCTTTGCTGTATGAAGAATCTAAAACTGGCTGAAGAGAAAAACGACTTAATCGTGTGTAATAGGTTCCATACTCTGCGACTTCTGAGAGTAGGCTGTGCATTGTCTCCGGCGAAGTTCCAGAGACATACACCCCCTCCTTTATCACAAAGGTCTGAGCAGCCTAAGAGAATATATGGAGGAGAAAAAAAAAAAAAAAGGCCAATGCAAATATTTCATAGCTGTATTCTGATTTAAAACAGCAATCATTTACACACAAAAGTAACAGCAGATAAATTTTCAGTTTAGATACTCTGGTGACTGAGACTATATAACTATGACAGCGTGATAAATATATTAAATTGTAGCAGAATTTCAGGAGTATGAATGGTACTTTAAAATACACAGAATAAGGTTCATTATCTAATCCCTTATAGAAAATCTAATCTGTAGAACCATTTACACATCTATTTTTGAGTATTCATAAACCTATTTTCACTTAGAAGACTACAAATACCCTTAGCCTACTGCAATAACATCATTATTGCAATATATAAATACTGCCTCATTGCCATTAGGTCACATTCAACTTTTTAACAGCATTCACAACTGCAAGATCTCAAAAGAAATAAATGCACTGAAGAGGAAACTGCTACAAAGAAAAAAAGATGCAACTGAGAAGCGCAGTTAAAAATCTTCCATACCTGGTTGAGCGAAAATGTAGTGGATACCACACCAATGAGGACATTCAAGACATCCTTAACCAGTTCCGGTTCTTTCATTAGCACAAGCTGTGGAAGCTGAAGTACAGTATTACTAAACAGTTGCAACTCCCCTTCTCGAAGTTTGTAAAATTTGTCAAAAGCTTCTCTTCCAGCTTCAGTAAGATATGGTTCCTCTTTTTTACCAGGTGGGCTGTGTCAGAGTAAACACAACATTACAAGGTGATTATATTAAAAGAGGGAAATATGCTGCCTAAAGAAAAAAAAGGCATTTCAGAATTTTACACACCCAGTATTGACCACAGAAAAAGCTACTAGTAATATAGGACATTTTTAAGGGAATGTGCATTCAGTCAATTGAAACAGTAGCCCAGAATCAGTACAGTGCAGAAACAAGTAGATAATTTGAATGCCAGTTCAGAGACACAAACCTTGACAGAGAATCACCAACTTCTTTTGTGGCCTTTCCTGATGTAGTTTTCACATTAGGAAAATGAGGTCAACACTTACCAGATTTCCAGGGGCCATGTAATACTAACATTCAAATATGTTAAAGAGCAATATGCTCAAAATGCTATAATGACCTGTATTAACACATTTTAGCTCTTCCCAGTGAGGATTACTATTCCCTCCAAAACAACTTCTCCTTCCAATTATTCCAAAAATTCAGAATTCTAGGAGCATGCAATACACGAAAGCTGTCAGGCATATGGTCTATATTTGACTCTACGATTGTTACAGTCTAAACGGTAGCAAGAAAAACTGTCTTGAACTAGGAAAAAAGCTAGAGTGTGCTACAGTGGCTTTGAAAAAATCAGATCAGGGAACTTCTGAGTTTCTGAGATTCTCAGACTCAGAGTTGAAAAAAACACTGTGTAACACTTCAACAGAGACATCACTAGATTATTACCTAAAATTACAGAAAACAGAGCAAAGTTTCTCCAAGAATCAGGCACACAACTGTTCATCAGGAAGGTAAGGCCATACCTGCCTGCTTTTTTTTTCCCCTTCCATTTTAGGGAAGCTAGGAAGCTTTAACAGGGCGATACAGAGCCTCCTCTCAGGAGATGCATCTTCTTCTCAACTGCCACAGGAACTACAAGTCTAACTACACCATCAAGAAATCTGTTGTAATAATTTCTCATTTGGTTACAGACAGGGAAAAGGAATACAATGCTGTACAATACTGAGAGATACGGGTTTAATTATTCTAGTGCTCTACAACTACCACTTTCTCTTTTGAAACTGAAAATATGGAATCATTTTTAGACTGAGATAAATTGCATAGTGCATAAGAAGGCAGATTAGTTAGAAAAATGTCGCATTTCACACAAACAGCAAGTGTTCCCACAACCCCTTCAGTGTTTTTGACAAAGACGATTGTTTTATTTCTTCCTGTGAAACTGCTGCAATCTAAGAACTAGTTTGTTGAAACTGCACAACCTTTATTCCTTCCTCAATCGTTACTGCAGTATATTGAATTCCATGAATTAAATATGCGCATTTCACTATTTATACTGAGGTCATCTGGAACTAAGATGAAATGCACCTTCACACGTTTGCTTATGATGCATAATAAGTTTGCCAGTAACATCAGACACATACTATCCAATTCTTTCCCAACATCTCCGTTTGCTGGGTCCGTATGTAAGCACTGCATCCCACAAGTCTATGTCTGGGGTCATGCTCGGCTCTGACTGAGAATCAGGAGTCAGATTGGACGCTGACTGGAATCCCTCATCTTCTGACTGGTCTATACTTTGGGGAACCTGTCAGAGAGAGTTCAAACGTTATATACGAAAACATTCTACTGAAGAAACATTCGCTATTAAAGATGTTCTGCTATCATTGTGATCAGGTGACTCCACACAAGTCAACCTTGGTCGTCCACCCGCCCTTTAGATCTATTTTAAGTTTTTCCTGTAAGCACTCTTTTCATTTGATAAGTCTCTACAGGTACTAATGCCTACACATAAAACAACAATCACCATCAAAATAATATACTAAGTTTGTCAGTGTTAAACTTGAAACTTACTCCTTTGGTAAGCATATAGTTCTACAAATTGAGAATCTGAGGTCTGGATATCCAACAACATGTAACACTAATAAAATCATACTGCTCAGTATTTCATTTGAGCAAATGATCCAGGCCCTAATTCTTCAAATTTGTAAACATTTTGTTAACTATCACTAACATTGTTTTTTCTCTTATGCTTATATATATGCAGAAAATCTGCAGGTGTCCAAACTGAATATGCCACATCCTCAACTCCCACTCAACAGGAGTTGTATGTGCAGAACAGTACTCAAATTTAATAAAAGACAATCACACCCACATAAAAAGCAGCATGTTCTTCAAGAAATCATGGATTTTCCAGTCTGGTGGAAAGCGTACAGCACTTACTCAAAAAGGTTCTGTCGCCCCCAAGTTACGACTTACAGCCATATGTGCACATTGAATGGCACAGGGGTTTTCTTTTTCACTGAGTCTGCCTTCGAGTTTCAATTAAGACCCTGAGTTAAGGGAATTGCAAAAGCTATCCGGATGTTAAGCAGAGGGAATAAAATGAGGATTAAAAGTACAGGAGTGTAAAAACCTACCTACACACAGTTAAAATGGAAAGAAAGGAAAAAAACCCCAAGTTATCTGGTACCTCTATGAAAATAAAACACAGCAAAAATAAACATGGACAGCAAAAGAGGAAAAAAGATACAGTAGAAACCATACCCACTGAAAAGGTAAAAGGACAGTATGAACTAGGAGGTTCAATGAAATATAAGAACAGAAAAAAAGTATTTTAAGATACAAGCCAAGAAGAAAACACAACAAGTTAGGTAACGTAATCTGAACAGCAAAACACATACATTCAGACAGGAATGCTTAGGCAGTCAGGCTGAACAGTAACAAGTAAGCAACAACGCCAAGGAGTTCAATATACAAAGCAGGCAAAAATGCAGGCAAAAGATTACTAGGGTGGGGAAGGCACAGAGATAGCTGATGGCTTAACTTCACAGAGCCTATGGCCACGTGATGGTTTTTTACTCAGTTACAGGACAAGACCAAGGTTTTCATTATCATACATCTCTATATACAAAAAGCTTCTCTGGTTCTCAGGATCCCTGCTCTGTCTTAAATTCCAACACTGGATGATTCTATTACAAATTAAAACGACTAGCTATATTTTACACTATAGTTTCGAAGTGGCATATTGAAAGCATGCATGCACTCTTAAGTCCAGAACAAACAATACCATACTTTAATTGCAAGTCCAGACAAATCTGCGTTGTCAGGCACTGGTGGTAAATCCAACTTGATGTCCATATCATACGTACGGCTATGGACAAGAGCACCAAAGAGCGAGACCCGTGTTTCTTTCTCAAACTTGTCACCAGCAGGATAGTTCTGTGAGAACAACCCTATGGCGGGGAGTCCAGTCCCAGGTGCGGCCTCCATTATCTGAAGTGTCTTTTGGATTGTGTCATTGAACTGACATTCTTCGTTTGTTATTAGAGATTGTATATCAGCTTCAAATACACTTACATCATAATAATCATAACCCTGATATTTGACATTTCTCCCAACATATTTGTTGTTCAGAAAATAGTCCTTTTTTTGTGGCACGAGCTGAGGGGGACCTGTTCCGGCAAGCTGTACTAAGAGATCCAAGACAGAATTAACTTCAGCAAATGGTAAGCATTCAGCTGTTTCCAGTTCCTCCACAAGATTCTCCAATCTGTCCGCTTGAGCACCTAGGCCACCAACTCTCAAGTTGAAAGACAGCATCAAAATTTTGTTTTTCACTGGAAGCCTCGAAACATTTGATTGCAGCTTACGAGCCTCGTCTTGGAAAAGGTTTATGAACAGGGCATTATAAGCAATCCTTTTCAGATTTTGCTTAGCCCTTCTCTTGCTGATCTTCTGCCGGCCCAGGTGGACCTTCCATGGCAAACCTGTCAAGTGTGCTTCACACAAGTCATTGAACAACTGCGTAATGCTCTCCATTTCAAATGGAAGTGTCAGGTTATTGCAGTTACGGCCTGCGTCTCTGGTTTCATACGAAGACCTGAAAAATGTCAGGGAAAGGAAGAAATACTCGTAATGCGCATGAGAAATTGATGAGTATGCTTTAACTTAAACTGAGACGGCCCACAGCGAGAGAGAAGACGACTGACCTAGCACATATTTAGGACACGAGCCATAACAACAACACTACGGCTTTGATCA